TTTTTTCACGTCCTCCTCCTTTGAAGTTTTCTAGTGTACGGATACGACTACGCAAGCTCATTGCTAATGGTCCGGGTCCTGTACAAGTGGGAAAATGAAACTGCCGCGGTAAAATTAACGTCCTTCTTAAGTGAAGAGTGTTTATCAATGCATTCTTCTTTCTTCCTTCTACGCACTATTACTTGGAATCAGCGACTACCCGCATATACGACGAGATGGCAATCTATACAAACTTCTTCAAGTGGATCGGAATACCAGGAGGAGAGGAGCCTCCGGCGACTACGACTACCTGGGACGCAGAAACAGTGACCGTTCGACAACCTCCTAGGCCTGCACCACCCTCATCTAGTGAGCCTATTGTCGATCAGCAGCCGGTGTGTTTTATGTCGACTATTCCTCAGGCGTCCCGTCTTCCCTCGCCCTCGTTATTTGTCAGATGTATATTTCCTTACTGATTTGATTCGCCCTGGCGAAACCTTTCCACATATAGGCTGTTCCAGAGCAGATGGACCCTCGTCTCCGCGGCGGTGGGGCTGGTGACTTCTGTTGTGGAGTGTAAGAAGCCCTCCCCCCGCGCCAAGGACCTGTAGTTGACCCTACCAATACCTCAATGGCATAACTAATTAATCGAAAACATAGTTGTACCGGTGTGACTTGCTGCGCGCTCTGCCTCTGATGATTGATGGAGAAGGAGGCGGAAGCCCGGGTGGGGGGTGTTGGTGCTGGTTATGTTGTGAACTCTGACACGTTCGGTAATATGCTTTTCGAAGTCAAGGATAGGCTTTGCTGAGCCATTATGGTCGTTTATGGACTCTAGGTTACATAGATAACAATTAACTTCTTCAGATTTGAGCTATGTACGTTCAAGTTAGGTAACCACAAGAAAACACACTCCTGCTCCTCCTAGACCTTGTTTGATCAAAACCAGAGCGTTACATGATGAAAGGCAGCACTTTGCCGAGATTCACGGAGCCCATGACATTAGGTTTGTATGCAAAGTTTCTGACCTGGGAGGCTGCCCCTTGTCTTTAGAGTTGTTTGGCATATTTATTTCCAAACAGAGGTAACAGTTTGAACGCGGATGCTGACGTCCTCGGTGTCCACCTCCTCGGAGAAGACATACAACCCCGTCGCCTCCTCAGTCGGAAACACGCGGGCTGTGAGACTGGTCTCTCCATGGCCTGCAAACACTTCGACGGAGGACCAGTCCAGGAAAATACGTAGGGATACCATGCCATCGTGATCGGCCTCGAGCAACGGGGCATTATACACTTCGGGAAAGGTCGCATCGAAGGTCACGTTGCCCGACCGGATGCGGTTGACAAACACTTCCTTGGTGCCAAAGTCATATCCGATTTGGGTCTGTTCGGTCAGGTCGCGGTTGGCCAGCGCGATGATACCGAACCGGCCCTCCTGGGCAACAGCAGTAACAGCAGCAGAAAATCGGAGCTGAATCTCCACCGCCTGGCCTGATACATGCAGTTGCTCGATTGTCCCCTTGGGGATTATGTCCCACATCAGGGTGGTGTAGTTGGTGTTGATGCCACCATTAGGTCCGGGGAACAGGGCAGCCCCCAGTGGTTTCTGCACGAGGGTGGGCTTGTGGTTGACCGTCTTCAGGGATAATTTTCGCGGGAGCGCATAGGCCCCCCTCCAGCCCTGTTCGGGGGTAACCGCCGCGTACTGCCAGTTACTCATCCACGCGACATTGATACGCTCGTCTCGCGGAAGGCCATTGAAGCTGGTTGCCGCGTAGAAGTCGGGGCCGAAGTCCACCCAATTAGCCGTCCGGCTACGTGCTAAGGTGGTGTTGGAGAAGGAGATCTCGTCGACGGTGATATGTCCCCAGTCCCCTGTAGCCGTATCCACTACTTCAATCGTAGCCGTCTGGCCTTGTAGTGCGGTGACGTCCCACCCCGTCCACTCTAGATGTTCACTGTTGTGACCGGTGGCTGTCCGTACGATCTGACTTGTCCCGTTAATATCGCACTTGAGGTTGATGGAGGTTCCGTTCCTGCTGAATCCGCCACCGATTAGGAAATTAATATAGCGGTGCGAGATGGTAAAGGGCGGGGAAGTGAGCATCCCAGTTGTCTGGTCCCCATTAAGAAAAGTGTTGAGCAGCCGATGTCCGAGAAACCCAGTCACATTCTGCTGACCACCAAGTGCTCCCTCAACGGGTGACGCGCCTACCAGCTCCCCTGACGCTGTCCAGCCCGAGCTCTCAAAATCCCCATCGTTCTCGAAGTTCTCAAATACAACACTATCAGTCGACGGCGGGGTCGCGTCTTCGGAGTAGATGCCCTCGTCATCCGGCGTGAACCGGATGCCATCGAAGTTGCCCACCACATACTGGGTGCCTGAACCCACCGTGCCCGGAGGACCTCCGGGGTTGAGTGATATCTGCGCGACCCATTTTACGTTAGAATCGTCACCGTCCAGGGGCAGCGGGAATAGGTTGGGGCATTCCCACACCCCGCCCACCGCATTGAACGGCCCGAAAGCACTCGCATATGTCCACTGTTTCAGATCTGCAGACGTGTATATCGCGATTTTGTGTTGCTTGGAGATCGCTACCAGGCTCACCCATGCCTGCGTGGCGTTATGCCAGAACACGAACGGATCACGAAATTCCTGGTACTCCGCCTCATCCGGGGACGGCGGATCCAAGATGACTGGGTTCCCTGCATCCCACTGCGTCCACGTCGTGCCGTTGTCGAGACTGTAGGCGATGGACTGGGACTGTTGTTTGTCTCGGACTCTTTGACCACTAGGTAGAAGCTGTGCCTGCGGGTACTATTCGTTGACGACGCCAAACCGAAACCCCGTGTTAGTCAAGGACATCTCACAAGGTACAGGAAGAGGAGAGATGAAAGAAGAGTCACTGCCAAGCCAGGGGGAAATCAAAAAGGAAAAGAAAAGAAACGGGAAAGGGTCGACCGGATCCTCATTTGAACTTACGAAAGAGGTATACATGGCCACCAGAGGCACTTGACCGTCCTCCGTCGCAAAGCCACTGGTATTGTTCACATCAGCCACTACAGAGCCGGAGAAGTACATCTCCGTGATCTCGCCGGGATAGCCTCGCGCCAACAGCGCGACGGGTTGATGCTCCCAGTGGCTCAGGTCCTTGCTAGTCGCATGGCCCCAGGACAGGGCACCCCACTCCGTGCCATTCGGGTTGTACTGGTAGAATAGGTGGTAGACGTTTTCATAGAAGAGCAGACCATTTGGATCATTAATCCAATTCTTCTCCGGGGTGAAGTGGTACTGAGGACGGTAGCGCTCGGTATAGTCTCCCGTGACTGCAGCCTGGACTGCGCTAATGCCCAGGAGAAATGAGTAGGGTAGACGGAGGAGCCCCATCAGAAAAGAATGAAAAGACAGTATGAAGAAAGGTGGTCGGACTCAACAGTTCGCAGACCCCTCACGACAGAGGTGATAATTTTAGATATCTAGTTGGGATTGCTTTTATCCCGAGAGTCATGCTACCGTCCTTTTTATACCTCGCTGGCTCTGTCTTTATTAGTGTAGAGGTATAACTCAATGTGAGAAACGGGGGAGGCGGGGAATAGAGCGGGACATGCTCTGCTCCGCGTTTATTGCATTTCTTCGGAGGAGCTCCGGAGAATTGTCTCGTTTAGCATAGACAAAAACAAGTAATGTCGTAGCCAAGCACCCAAGACTCACCCAACGAGGATTCATCGAAGGCAGTGTTAGTCCTGCTGATCTCGTGTCACTGAGCTCTTTATTGCAAGATATTTACACCGAAGGTTATTTTTTCTCGGAGCATTGGGGTTATGTACTTTTGTAATGTCAGGGAACTGAGCGTCCTGCTCCGTCTTTCCCCCAGTGTCCCTCGGAAAGCGACCATATTTCCGAGATGGGAGCGGCAGTGACACGAGTTTTCAGGCGCTCTTTGTTAGTATATACGGTAATTCCCGATAGACCTTGTCTTCTCATCCTTTTTTTCCGGGCCACTTCCGTCGTTATTATGCCTGGGCGGGGATGTTTAGCTTTGGGTGAAGCCATGCGGTCCAGTAACAGAACCCACTCTATCTCTGTAGGCCATCGTCAACGTCTCCTTGCATGGTAATCTCATCTCAAAGGAGTTCAATTCGATAGCATGCATGTTAGACTTTTTGTGAGCCCTGATGGGCAAAGTAGGACCGCCTGCTAGGTTGGGGGTTGCTACCTTTGGCGATTGAGGTCATATAGGGAGAATCACCTCCCACATAAAGGCCACAATGCCTCGATGGCATAACCACTAAACTATACTTCACCACAGCACCTCATCCCTAGCTAATCCTCATTTTCTGGTCACTACAAACTCTGCCAATGTTTGTCTCCGTGCCAACGAAGCCGAGGGTAGGTAATCAACCTAGACAGCTTTCATGTCAGCTCGCTAAGATTCATTGCTTCACCAGCCAGGTAGCTATTATGATCTGTAGTTGTGACTGTACTTGAAACTTTCCCCTCCCCAGGATTCCGCATTGGTGATCCCAACATTTTATACAGCGCTTGGTCATAACACCTGACAAAGGAATATCCCTACATTGATATGTCCATGTCTTACAGTAATAGGCATCCAGCAGAGCCGGGGGAGGGGGGATGGAAGGGAAAAAAGGATAAGTCATACTTTATAACGTAAGCGGTAAGCGAGCCGGCCACCTCTATATCCCATACTGATCCCGCAGCTTTTGAGCTGTAATATTATAGCCTAACTTTACATTAGAATATATTCAATTCTAGTATATAAATCTTATAAAATATAATCAATATATTTACAAGTGATATATACTTACATTATATTTTTAGGTAATTTATTTCAGACTGGTATTATATATGTTATAATTCAACTTATATTATTATTGTTCATAATAAATATTCTTGAGCTACACCTACACCTCTACTTGTAATTTTATTATAATTAAGTCAATGTTGGCTGAGATATTGAAGTTTAGAAAATTATTGGATTAGCATAGAATACAGAGGTAGTCACTCGCTTGCCGCTTATGTATATTAACTACAATCTTTTCTTGAAGCCAAGGGTTCATGCTTATATACTGAGATGATACATCCCTTTAAGACAACACCATATAATGTAGGTACTCGGCCGATGGTAATATCTAGTTTATCTTCTGTTGCAGTACTGTTCCTTTAACTTTGAGCCTACTGGACTGCGTGTACTATATGATTTTTAGTGTACGAATACGAAGATACAGGCGGAAACACACACGTGCCCCCACTTTTTTTTCCTCTTTCTTTCTTTTTTTTAAAACGTTTTGGCGAGGGTTCTCGCCTAGCGTAATGGACACGGAATATCGATGAGAGAAATGGCTAAGTAAGGGGTGGGGAAGGGAGATAGAGTTATTGCAATATAAACAACCTTATTTTTCGGGCAAAATACATTTCTGCAGGAACTGCAGTGGGCAGGGAAAGAATTTCTAAAATTAAAGTATTATAAAAATAGCAAATTAAGAAAGGGAAGAAAGAAAAGCAAAGAAATGAAATGAAATAAGCTGACAAGAGGAATAACGAAATGCAAAAAGAAGGAATAAGGCACGAACTCACAACTGAGATATAAATGCCTTAAAGTTCACACAATTTTAAGAATATCCCAATCATATTATCTCTTTATTTTACAAGGTCACGCTCTGGATTACCAACACGATCCGAACAGGTAGGGTATAAGTGTTAAATCTGAAAGTATAGTAAATAACTTCACCGACGCTTCGTTTACCTTGAATGGGTCCTTAGAGGTACACGAAGTCGGAAGCTATGTCGGATCCAATATGGCAAGCGACATTGGTAAGCTTCTCGATCGTCCGCCGCAAGGGACTCAAGAAATTAATAATTAATAGGAACAGACAAACCGAGTCGTTAGTGAAGCCCGTGTAGATTAACGTAGCTTTCACCGCCTCCTAGCGCAGTATCGGTCGTGTACAGCATGTGGTATGGCTTCCACTTGTGGAAGATAAGTTGCACCAGCAGCATCGGGATGGTATCAAACAGATACATATAGATCTCATGCGAAACAAGGTAGCCGTCATGTCCCTGCACAAACTCAACGATTCGATAAACACATCGAAAGATGATGAGGGCGGCCATGACGTAGAGAACGTAAAGTAGTGTCTTCCAAGGCCCACCTGGCACCCTGGCCGGGCTGCTGCGAATCCGCAATGAAAACTTGACCGACACGTACAAGAAGAACCCAAAGAAGAGCAGCTGGATCACTAGGCCGAAGACGATAATCTTCTCGCCGATGCTGCCCAAGCCGTTTATCGCCATCATCCCTCCGCCGCTGCACTGTAAGAGGAAGGCGAGGACGTCTCCAATGACGAAGAGTTTGGTCACTTTTGCCGGTGCGATTATGGACAGTTCAGGTTGTTGCGTGCATCTCACGATTCGTCCGTAGCACATGTAGATGGTGGCTGCGTAGAGCGATGGTGGGAGCAGAATCAACAGGGATTGACTGATGTACGGGCCGAGGCTATTTGGGTCTCTGGCAGAGACGGCACGGCTTATGTATCCGAATGTCATCACTATTTTCCGTTATGATTAGCTAAGGGTTATTTCTTATATATATCCTGCCTAACTCCAATTCTGGCAACCCTTTTCCCTTTCCCGAGAGAACACTCAAACTTACTGAAGGAGCCAATGATAAAGGCCGTAAAGAACCAGGCCTTGGCTTTCACAAATGCTTGCCACACATGGAGTCCTGCACTGATTCCGAACACCAATGCGAAAACGACACTAGCCGCTACACTTGGCTTGTAGTTGTAGAGAGAGTACCCGTCACCACCATCCGCCATGGTCGTGACTGTCTGAGAATGGTTTCGGAAGAATGAATGTAGCAGAACCTCGCGCGGATACTGGTAGCTGAAATCGATTATGGCGTTCAGTAGTGACTATCACAGAGTATAGTACATGAGGGTATACGAGGGAGAAGTCCTGGTCGGTCAGAAATAGGGGTAGAGATATAACAAACGAACAGGAAGTGCAACTCTTGCGATAAGGGCACAGCTGATTCGATTTAAATAGTAGGGCTCATACTCCAAGCCACAGAAAGTTCAACAATAGATGCACGTAGGCGCCCTGAGGATGCGGTGGAACTTTGCAATAATGAACAGGGTCCATAGTATCTCTAGTGAACGAATACGAGGTAACCGGGCGGTTAGGTGGAGTATTGAATTTCAATATTGGATCCGATTTCACAATTTTCAACCTCTCGATTCAGCACCTGATTCGCGCGACCACAGTCTAGATATGGCAAAGCTTGACTGTAAGGACCCGGGCTCGCCCCTTGGCTTGCTTGGCTTGCTTAGTAAGTGGGTCAGGCTGACCTCAGGCCATTCTTTGATCACCGTCTTTCCGGTAGTACGGCTTCTTCCCAAGAGTATCAAAAATTGAAGGCTTATGACTGGTTTCATTTTTTTCATTCTCTTGAACATTTTGTTGGTAGTACTATTTCTGTAGGAAATCAAGCTCGGATATTAAAATTTGCTAATACAAATAAAGCCGACCTGACTGAACTCTAGGATATAGTCTTTAATACGAAAAATTATCGGGGACCTAGATATCTTCAGTCTATAATAGACATCTAATAAGCTCATAAATAGAATCTGTATACATAATTCTAAGATATGTAATATTATACTGATATATAGTTTACTTCCAGTAGTACAGAATTAGTTCAGAAATATAATAATGTGATCTACAGCTGTAGTTTTTATCTCTCAAATCACTACTACCACTCTATTTAAAGCTATTCGACTAGCTCAGATATCAACAAAACCGCTTATCTCATTTAAGAAAAGTAAGTGGAATAAGAAAGTAGGAAAGTTATTATCAACAAAATTATTCGATAGTATTAAATTTCTAATACTATTTATAAAGTTATATATATTCTATAATATTTCCAGGACCACTCGATGCTTTTGTTTAGCTGGATAAGTTCTATTCAAAATATGACCAACGCGCGTCAAAAATTATATAACACTTAAGAATCACGTTTAAGCTTCTAGAACACGTACTGAATACTCACAACTGCCTATAAAACTCTACGATTGCAAGGAAAGAGCTTGGGCACCTGCCAAAATGTTAAATCCAGCTAGGAAAAAAAAGCAGAAAACTAACATATTGAGGTGAATACTGTGATCCAAGTGGTAGCTGGTAAGGCAATAACAACCTTTCATTGTTTCTGGAACGAACTGACATAATGTAGATGATTCTATTAAGAGGAGAATCAGCGGAGGATTCTCCAATACATAGAATCAGGAAGCCGAGAAACTGCGTGACAACACCGAGACACCTCGCCATTATTCTCAAAGTCCCCGAGATATGTTCTTCCTTCCACCTTCCGGGATTAAGTTGTCTCCACATTTCTCTGGAACCCCGTAGCTCACCCTGGAATAAATCTGCCAGAGCTTAGCAGGGTCTGCGTGCTTCCACAATAGACGATGACATAGGAAGAGGCCATATGAAACCTTTTTACACTATTGCAACGAAACATCTACCTCGCAACAGCAGGCCGCCAATTGCGTGGTCTCTAGTCTCTCTTCTGCAGCTGACACTAGCTGTAAGGGGCCGGAGTTCTCCTGGAGCCAGTAATAGTTCCCCTTTGCGTGAGTGACCCCGGTACGTGCTCCCCTTCGGTCTGACCAACAGTAAGCAGCCCCGGCACAGGGTGCACATGAGGCAAATACCGTACTGGAAGCTACTAATAGCTTCATCTCCTCCCTCGCTCCGAATAAAATGCAGAATTGGTTGCCGGTAGTGATAGTCCATACTCTGGGAGCATTGCTCCAACCCCACGCTTGGGCTTTGGGGGCCTTTGTCTCTCGGATTCTCCGCTCGGCGTTAGGGACACAGACCTCGGTCACCATGTTACCCGCCGGTATCGCAACTGGGGAAACCTTTGACAGAGTACTGATTCGTGATCGTGCGGTGCTCATGGCAGAGGAATTCCGAGCGAATGGAGTCCCCATTACTTTGAGGTGGGTCGTCTTGAGGTGGATCACCACCCGCAGTCCTGTCAGCGCGCTGACCCAAATCTGCCCAGGGCCGCATTTGGGAAGGCTACGGTGCGAACATTTACCTCTGCAGTTGGCTCCCGCGAGACGATCGCTAGTTTTAGTTCGGTTGGGGTCCATAATCACCATCAAACACTGGATTTGCAATGAGCAGGAAACCATGCGTAATCCTACAATCTCGGACTCAGGGGGAGTCACAGATGGAGAGATATACCAACACGCGCTTGGCTCAAATATCGATGACCGTACTATGCATGGGATTTACATATGACCCTTTGCGGAGGGTAACCGCGCCCGTCACAGCCAAGTTATGTGCTCGTATCAGCGGCTCAATGAAACTTGATCGTCTGAGAACGCCGAGTCCCCCAACGGTCTACTCAAGGGAGAGCTGAGGTTCCAAGGCGCTGTCATGTCCGATTGGCTAGCCACTTACTCGGGTATTCCGTCATCTGAGGGAAGACTTGACTTGAATATGCCCGGCGGCAAGCTGCCCTACACTATCGCCCACCGTGAATCCGACTATAGTGCTCCTTTTGTGAATTTACCAACATCACAGATAAGAATGCCTGGTGGAATGACTTTGCAGAATGTCTGCTTATTGAGTATCGCCATTTCGATGCAGGAAACATCATACCTCGCTACAAGTTCGCTTTCGGCTTGACCTATACAACCTTCTCCTTCGGGTCTGTTTTCATTTCTAAGAACCACCGGGGAGCGCACAGCGCGTTCGCCGACTTGGCTGCTACTCGAGCCAGCGCTGCATGATTGTATGAGCAGTTTGCAACCCTTCGTGCCACCGTGTGCAACATAGGTAAAGCTAGCGGAGCTGCCGTGCGCCAGTCATACATCTCCTTCCCACCAAGTTCTACAGGGGGAACGCCACTGCGAGTGCTCCGCGGGTTCGCCAAGACCAGGGAGCTCGCACCGGGAAGGTGTGAGAACGCCCATTCTGTCTTGATGAGGAAAGATGCGAGCTCCTGCATATTGTTGCGCATGACCAACATTTGCCGAAGGGTCGTTTTATTGTCAATCTCGGGTTTTGCAGCCGCGATCTTGTTGCAGCAAAGAAGATATCCTTCCATTGAGGGGCTGGCATAACCGGTTACGACTGTTTCAAAATAGCTTGCTGCTCAGTTTGTAACCTCGAGACGCAGGGCCTGCTGCTATCGAGCCCCGGTGCCGTTTGTGGGAAGGAGGGTATCGACGCTTGGCGCGCAGTCAACCTTGACTCCGGCAGTATTAAGTTTAGCGCGGAGTCAATGTTACCTTGCCAAACTCATTACTGTCTTCTCAGCAGAGTTGATATTAGAATTTAATGTTACAGCACAGGAAATCTAGCTATAAGATAAATATGAGACTAAAGTGTTGCTTGAATTGTCCTTATCTAGGCTACTTGGCTGGGAGCGAGCAAGGGAGTAGCAAAGTGAAGAGGTGATCACCTGATGTCGGTATGCAGCCTCGCCTACCAGGGATTAAGTGCTCCAAGAATTGATATGACCTTGTTAATATCTTTTATAGAGGCAATATTACCCTTCCCTCCACCCTCCCTTACTCTATGAATGTAAGCGGCGGAGCCGTATCAGGAAGATGTTGACGCTACTCGGGGGGGCTGGCAGTGATCAAGACGTCGCACTACGGTCCCCCGCCCGAAGGGACCCCTTGATGTTGTTTCTCTAATTTTGCGACTATATTCTTAACAGTTGAATCTCAACTTTGAAGCATACAAAGTGCTGACACTTTCAATGGGATTCTCAGTAGTCCTGTATTGTGCGCATTCACGGGCATTGAGTGCGTGTGGGGTTGCCTAATGCAGCCGGAAGCGGCTATATTTTAAACAGGAAGTTAATGCGATGACGGCAGGTTTACTGCGTAATCGCGCTGGATTTGTCGAAGTACTTCCGAGCTTACTCTTCAAATCGGCAGGCAAGAACGAATACGAAATTCCCCATCGCAGATCGCCTTAAAGTAGGCCTAATGAGAAGCTATTTTACTCAATATTTAGTTCACCTCCAGCTCATGATAAACTCTCAACGCTTCCTGCTTTGGCACTGACAAAAGAGGGCATATTAAGGACAGACATATGCGCACAGAATAATCCAGATCATGGCTCCAAGAGACGTCAAGGAACCGGCATTGCTTGAGAGGGCAAAGGCCTTGAAGAATACACCCTGGTGTGATGAGTATGAGCGAATGATTTCTGGGATGTTGTAAGTGCTTCTATACTAATACCTATCGCATTACTTGAATTTGTACCTCTCTTTGCAAGTTTTCCTAATCTATGAGCCCAGGTACAATTCCTTTGGTCCAGAGCTGACAGAAGCGCGCTTCCGTGCCCGAACTCTCATATCAAAGTACAACAATACACCAAATCTGAATCATGTGAGTCCTGAAGGTCTAATGGCCGAACGGGAGACAGCTCTTCATGAACTATTTGGCTCTTCAGGGTCCAATATTTACGTTGAACCGCCTCTCTTTGTGGACTACGGGTGTAACATCATTGTTGGTGACAACTTCTACGCCAACTTCCAGTATGTCTATTACCTTATTAGAAAGGCACCGAATAGTTATACTAAACCCATTTCTTCTAAGTACCACAATGCTCGATTGCTCCCTTATCACCATAGGCGATAGGGTCGCCTTTGGACCAAACGTCAGTCTTCTAGCCGCTACACATCAAACGAGTGTGCAATCGCGACGGGAGAGGAAAGAATTTGCTCTGGAAATCTCGATCGGTAATGATTGTTGGATCGGTGGTGATGCCACAATCCTAGCAGGCGTGAGTATTGGAGAAGGGTGCACAATTGGTGCTGGTGCGGTGGTTACCAAGGATGTTCCCCCTTTCAGTGTCGCGGTTGGGAATCCGGCTCGCGTTGTGGGGCAAGCAGAGGCTGCTGGAGGAAGCCCAGCTCTGTGTAGGTGATATATGTCCTCAGCACTGATACAATAAGTTAATACAGCGCCTAGTTGTGAGATGTAGTAGGGACGATTTGAATTATAGAATAATCAATTAATATCAGATGCTTGATCCAACTTCCGCATCAATCACTTTTGTATTAGATCTTTTCCGATGAGGGTGGCCTATGAGATGCTGGAATAGAAGAGACTTCACTTTTAAATGTCGTACCCAGACACAAGGAGCACGAAGTAATATTGCCGCATTTAGCAAACCTTGGGCGAACTTCATGGCAGGAAGGGAGCAAGTTTCCGACCGTCCGAGATGCCACCCCCAACCTCAGCTTCATTGTTCCAATTTTACACATCCACAGCTCCACCTGAATTCTCTCTCCGCCCTCCGACTCTCCGAGCCCCTTCCTCGTTCAGATTTCGCCTGTCCTTATTGCTACATTATACCCTACTACACGACTGTCAAGTCTCGGACTATGCTTCTGCATCAGACTCCACAGAGCCTTTGGAGGCCGAAAGAGTATCTTGCATGCTGACGTTGCCGCCAGAAAAAGTAAGTCATTGGCATATCGCCCCCGGAGCCTTATTATCGCTCACCTGCTTTCCAGGCTCAAGTGCGACCGTCAGCGGTCATGCGGGAATTGTACCAAGTACGCTATGGATGATTCCTGTGTATATCATCAGCGTTCTAGGGATCCTTTCTGCATTGCAAACCCCTAGCTGACTCGGGCGCATTACTGGATCACGTTCGTTTTCTCGATAAGTTGGTAACTTTCACTCCTGTCCAGGTCGGCTCCATCCCTGTCATCTCACAGAACCCTTTTCTCGGGTGCCAGTTCTTTCCTGGATGATAACTGGCTGATAGAGAAGTTCGGCACTCTGGCACTTGGGTCAGAGGAGTCTAGTTATGTTAGCAATCTCCATTGGATGGCGGGCCTGGATGAGGTATTTAATTTACAGTTTCAATCGCTCGTCAGTATCTAGGTATCATTCACCGACAAGAATGCTAATGCCATCAACTCGTTAAATAGATTGAGGAGCTGTAAGGATGCGTTGTTGATACGCAACCTTTCAAAAGGGGTGCAGAAGTCTAACCATCCTCCAATCGCCTTGCAGGCTAGGCTGTCCTACTTGTCACAGAAATCCGCGGCGAGAGGGGATATTCTGTCTTAGCTGCCGTCGAAAGCAGTCGCGGACGGCCGCGTTGACATATCTCTCTCAACCCGTGAAACAACCCGGTAAGTCCTCGACACCTTTCCGTTGCCACCGACCGCATAAAGAGGGTGTCCTTAGCAGCCGCTAGGGACAGTCATACGTAAGCAAACCTTTCTCGAACAGGTATGCCTAATTTGGACAGAGCCAGTCTACCGGTAAAACTTACTGAAGAACCACAGTACTGTCGATTTTGTTAACAATCCAAGTCGTCCCCCATATATGGGTCAGCCTTCTGTACGCAATGATGTGCCTTGGCCGTCCAATACCAACAGGACGCGCAAGGAGCAACAGCGTATCAAGCTCCGCTTCAGCTCAATCCGAAGAGCAGTCAAATTGACGTGTACCGCGAAAGGATTGTAATGTCTGCAATCGGGACAATACATGAACTCAGGACCATTTATTGTTGAGATACTCTTCCTGTACTTCATCGTCGATTGGATGCCCATTAAAGAGCTCTCCGTAAGCCACTGGGTTATCCTAGGAACCTTGACCCGGATTGCGATGCGCCGTGGTCTCCAACGTGGCCCGAGTCACTGGCCTCAGGTCTCGCCCTCGAAGGGCGAAATGCGGAGAAGGTTATAGTCTGCCATTGTACAGGTTAGCCGCGTTATTTGGTGGTTGCTAAGATATTCCACCCGTCGAGACAGCGGAGTACCTGAGTATCGCACCTGTAATGGACTTGCATCAGAAACTAGAACGAAGTCCATGAGTAATTTCCAGAATATCTGACAATCGAACCCTGGGAGAAGATGGCGTCGGACCCACCGGAAATGCTGCTACATAGACTGCAACTTGATATCTTTTACCTGTAAGCTTGCTGTCTGCTTTGTCGAGGCTATTCAAGATGCAACCACACTCTGTGCCACAACTCTCGATCAGTTTGTCTCGAGGCAGCCACGCAAATGATATAATATCGGTCGTCATAGATCAGGAAATGCTACCGGGGGGCCTCCTGGAAGTTCTCCCGTCGCTAGAGTGGCTAACGGCCAGGTCAGGCTAGGTTAATGGCAATTTTTATATTTTCTGTCTGATTAATTGTCAGGTTAAGAGTTAAGGAAATTTTTATATCTAGCTTCATTTAAGTCAAAAATAAAGATAATCAATGATCTTAGTTATTTTTGATATCTATTCAAATATTAATATAAATATAATATATTTAGATTAATTTCTGTCTATAACCTATATCTAACCTTCCTAACCTGAAAATACAGATAATGAAAATATCTTTTAATCTTCATCTATCTTAATTGTGTGGTTAAGAAGATCTTTATATCTTGACCTGACTGCTACATTACAGTCAGATTACAGTTAAGGTATAACTGTCAGGTATAGCCACTCTAGTCAGGTTAAGGGGATCCTTATACGGTTATACCTGACTGCAGTTAAGCTAAAAATAGAGACAGTTAACTGTCTTAAGTGTTCTTAGTACTAAGGTCTAGCTGCTATATTTGTTTGGAGTTTAATATATATAAAATATACTTAGATCAATCTTTATTTATTCTGATTATTTATAGACTATTTATATCATATTATCATATAAATTATAATTAGAACAGACTTATATTTTTTATAATTTCTTTATTATAATAATTCTCAATTTAAATAAAATAAAACTATTTTATAAATTATTTATATAATAATTTATATGTTTCTTACCAGCAGCCCAGTTGTTACGGACCCCTGCTAGTTAACCTACTAGTAAGGCGGACTCGCCAGGCAGAAAGCGCCGATAAGGGCAGCGCTCAGGCAAAACCAAACTGTTATTTAGTACAATTGCGGATTACCAATACGACGCCCGGAACGGCCTCGCACCACGTGACTACGGTATATGAACCAACACATGGTATACGACATACCATCATGGTCTACAACTACCATACTGGTATACGGCAGACCCGATGGTATACGATATGGTATACGGAGGATAGGATATATAAGGACACTCTCTCATGTACTTAGTTAGTTCTGTTCTTCGTGCTCAATACAACTGTCTTTAAGTAACCATACGTTTGGAAGCTTAGCTACAGAACGCTCGTCCGCACTTACTTACGAATAGCTGCGCGGCACTATTCGGCCTTACTTCTCTTCTCTTGTCCACGACCTAGTCGTCTCTCAGATAGTCATCAGTCGATACTACCTCGACGTAGTTCGGCGGTACGTGTACCAACGGGGCTAAGCTAACTGGGACAGGGAAGCGATCCTAGGGTTTGACACCGCAGTGGCTCGCCGCGGCTGAGACTAATAAATTTATATTAAATTATAAAAATAATAATATTCTGCTGGCTGAGAACAGCCAGTCTTAATAAAAAAATAAAATAATAGTAAATACTATTCAGAGGTATATAATTAAATTAATAATATAGTTCTATTTACTTTGTTTATTTTTATTATTTATATATATTTCTTTATACTTCCTTCTTTTCCTTCTTATATTTGATATTCTAGTTTAGATGCACCAAATAAGACATATTTGATCGGCTCTCACATTATATATATATTGAGAAATATATTAATCAAACTAGTTATAGAGTAGATGAGGATCAGCCTGGTTATTATGAATAATTTTAATATAAAGGTTATATAATTTATTTTATTTTAAGAATTAAAAGCAGTACTAATCAGAGAAGTCTAATAAATAAGAATTATTAATAAAATTAATAAGAAAAAGCTGAGAGCCTTATAAGAAACCAGATTAATAAAAGAAACTTTATAATAAAAAAAAAGAAATTTACTAAATCTTAATCAGTCCTGAAAGATATATAAAACAAGTTAATCTTATTATTATAGATAGTTTTTCTTGCTTTTTCCAGATTTACAGCTCTTTAATAAATATACAGACTTCTAACAGTATTCTCTGTCATTGTAGTTTATAGGCTCTTACACCAACCGCAGTGCCAGTGGATTAGGATTATGTTCTAATCCAAGGTTATGAATATAAATCGGTAGGCTCGTTAGAACAAGATATATAAGGATACTTCAGACATACTTATAAGCGACGGAATCCTGATCTTGGCTGCATTCATTATTTATGCACAGAAATCCTGTGGTTCATCTCAGGTAACCCTCATTGCCGTCGCCCCTCCCAGCCATCGAGGATTAGTACAGAAATAATAGAATTAGATACATCCTCCAGTATATATGAAACTCCTTGATCAGCTCCAACAGATACTAATTTTGAGTTCTGTTGCCTCGCGTGTAACCGTGTCAAGCGGTAAAGGGAGGTCCACCCTCTTTACTTAGCAGCAAATCTCGCAGCACTCAAAGCAAGCAATGCCGGCACAGCTTTTAAATCATTCAGTATTGGCTGTACTTTCGAGAACAAATAATAAGAGTAAAGTTTCTTACATTCCACAACAAACATCACCGCCGTCGCCTCCGCGAAGGCGAGAATTCATGCCTTCCGAAGTAACCTATGCGCGTACCGGGTATCCAGTATGAGATCGTAAGTTACACACCAGCATCTTGAAGGTACCATGACATACCGGCTGTTCAAATATAATGCGGTCATTGGAAAGCGGTTCAGGGCTGACTGGTTGTTCTATAGTCATTGTCTGAGCGTTCCACGTAATAGCAGCCCGAGCCTCTTCATCCCGGAGCCCTATCCATTTAAAGAAGCTGTCAAAGATGTCCATCGCGTTTTTCTCTGTTGATGGCAAGCAAAGTGAAGGAACCAGGTAGCCGAGGATGGCGGCAATGGGAAGAAAGACAAGATCGTTACGTTTATATAACTGTTAACCTGCAAATAGTGGGGCAAAGGGTTGCTCTCAACGGAAAGTCTGATGTGTGAAGTCGTCTATCGTTGGAAAGAAACTCTCCGCCATGTGCATGAGACCAGTGTAAAAGCGGCCTGGTGTGCCGGTCATTCCTTTGATGCCAATTACTAGTTCAAGTTACAGCTTTCCATCTTCATAACTTGTTATGGAAAGTGTGGCCCTTACTATTAGATTTGTTTGCAGTTTGGAAGTCATACACACCTTGTCAAGAATTAACCTAGACCAGTCAGCGTGGGTCCATGAACCAAGCAGGTATCTGTCATGTAGGTTAACAGCAAATAGCAAGACTTCTGTTTCTGTCCGTACTCGTACTCGTACACTAGCGCGGACCGCATGGCTGAACCTTATTATTATTACTATTATTACTATTATATTTGCTCGGGCTATTGCGGCCATAGGCTGCATGGAGCACCCCAGCTGGTGGCTCCTTATTCCACTCTATCTACCGTTGATGGTTATATCTTACAACTGTACTGTCCTGCCCTGCATCAATCCTCAACTTCTGCTTGCTAGCGTCCTTTTGTATCTGTACCCCTGGGGTCTCGCTCATTAACCTGCCCGTGCCACTTCTAGGTTAGGTTTCCACCATAATGGGTCACCACCGATGGCTTTCCTTTCAGTGCCGACCTGTCCCGATCGGCCTCTTAGCGTGAACGACAGATTTGCGAAGACGATCCCATCTTCTACATTGAAATTGAAAGGGAAAGTGCCGTACTGACTCAGTCTCCTCGCCACACGCACATGTTCCGCTATCCGTTTCGTATTTCCTGGCTCAGTATGGCACTTTGTCTTTCAATATAGAAGATGGGGACTTATCCAATGCCAGTTAAACCAGGACAACTACAGCGCCGACTATCATAGTACCCTCGCAGGTTGGGATCTATAATTTAGATAAAATAAAACCCTAAATCCAAAAGGATATACGACCAGATGAACCGGAAGAAGATTGCTCAAGACATTTAGTTCTAGATTACTCTTTCATTTATAATTCTATAATAACAGATCTAGATTAAGAGGTAGAAAGACTGATTGACCTAAGAGTTGTTATTCTTAAACTCTCAAGACTTCTTTCCTTCCTCTTTTCCCTTTCATTTACCCCTTTTGGTCCCGGTCCTTGAAGTTAACTATTTGAAACTTCTAGACAGAAATATGACTGACAATCGTTGAAAATCAAAACACCCCGTGTCGTACATAGATACACCGGACATGTTCCATAAGAACACTGGAAATGGAAGGCTTGGGTACCACGGCGCGGAAACCTAATACCCTTCAAAGTCTAGTGGGGCTCTTGGGGACATCAGGCAGAAGTGGTTAGAACTTACTACGTAGACTATTTGGTTTTTACAGGAAAGGGTGCGGGACCCCCAAATTTTAGGTTAAGGCCGGGAAAACAGTACAGAAGCGCCGCCGCCACCCAACCTTCCCCCAACCCGATATTTCGCCGAAAAGAGTGACATAAGGATGTAATTCGAAATCGACTCTGCATTTGGTATTACAAAGGTGAATACGGAAACTATGAGCATCCCCTGCTGCACGGCAGAGTGGCCACCGTTAGCCTGGGCAACGGCCCTTACCCTTTTCATTAAGGTTGAAAAAGCTTCGAATGACCCTACTTTGAAATCGGTGATGTGCTTTCTCGACTGCAAAACTCCCCTGTCAATTTCGTCTACCTAGCTTCTCGATTACCGCCGCCATGTCTTATCAGCCTGCCGAACTTTTACCGGACGATCTGCCGCCCTATGAGAGCCATGGAATGACTGAAGGTACTGAGTTCGGCGGTAAGTGACTTTTGCAGAAATGCATGCGGCCTGAGATCGCCGATACCTCTGTTATAGCCTGCGCTGACATCAAAATCAATTGCAATGTTGGAAGCGGACGGACGGGTGAATGTTGACCTTGACTCCAAGGTCTGCAAAGCTGTCGCAAAGTTGGTCCGTCTGCCTGGCCAAGCAGACCCGAGGCCGCCTCCTTTTCTTCCTTCTTCTACGTCTCCTATTCCTCCCGCATATGCGGACTCTGCTCGTTTTGAGATTCGGCTCAACCTTGTCATTCAGGTGGTGGGAAGCCGGGGAGATGTGCAGCCATTTATCGCATTAGGCCAAGAACTACAGAAGCATGGCCATCGCGTGCGTCTAGCAACACACAACGTCTTCGATGCTTTTGTCCGAGATTCCGGGCTCGAGTTTTACCCGATCGGTGGAGATCCGGCCGAGCTGATGGCATATATGGTCAAAAACCCCGGGCTGATCCCCCAGATGCAGAGTCTGCGGGCAGGTGACATCCAAAGGAAACGGGCCATGGTAGCTGAGATGCTAACCGGGTGCTGGAACTCCTGCATTGAGGATGATCCGATCTCGCAAGACCCGTTTGTGGCGCACGCAATCATCGCGAACCCCCCGGGCTTCGCTCACATCCACTGCGCGCAGGCGCTCGGGATTCCCGTCCATCTAATGTTCACCATGCCCTGGAGCAGTACCAAAGCTTTCCCCCATCCCTTGGCGAACCTGAAGTATTCTGATAACACCAGTCAGCTCATGGCCAACTACCTCTCGTATGCCATTGTAGAGTGGATGACATGGCAGGGGTGAGACATCCTTTTCATTTTAATGTACTATACGGCAATAATGGCATTATGATTTGCATTTGCCCTTTCACTGACATATTCTAGACTAGGAGATGTTGTTAACAAATTTCGTTCGGAAATCGATTTGGAGCCTGTTCCTTCCAGTGAAGGACCTTGTCTAGCGGAAAACCTCAAGATCCCTTTCACATACTGCTGGTCACCGGCTTTGATGCCAAAGCCTAGCGACTGGCCTCCACATATTGGTAAGCCCTCCCTGGTCTTCCAGCTTTCAGAGATAGCCAAGCCCAATGATTAAGTCTGCTTCTCCTATTTGCTGTTCTTCTTCTTCTTCTTCTTCTTCTTCTTCTTCTTCTTCTTCTTCTTCTTCGGTCTTTCATTTATGTTTTTATTTTTATTCTTTGGTATTACTCTTTTCTTAACGCGCATTGGAGACAGATGTGTGCGGATTCTTCTTCCGGGATCCCCCAAACTACACTCCACCGGCAGCTTTGGCAGCCTTTCTACAAGATGGACCGGCACCAGTATATATCGGATTTGGAAGCATTGTTATTGATGATCCCAGCCAGCTCATAGCAACGATTTTGGAAGCAGTCCGTACTGTTGGAGTTCGCGCTATCATCTCCCGTGGATGGAGTAAGCTGGGCGGGACATCTTCTCAAAAGATCTTCTACATCGATGATTGCCCTCACGAATGGCTATTTCAGCATGTGGCTGCCGTCGTTCACCATGGAGGTGCGGGCACGGCTGCCTGCGGTTTGCGAAATGGTTGTCCCACAATCATCGTGCCTTTCTTCGGAGAGTAAGATATTGATTCATTCTATGCGAATATATATATATATATATATATCCCATAGCTGACTCTTACTTCTTTCCCAGCCAGCCGTTTTGGGGCAACATGGTCGCTGCATCCGGGGCAGGGCCCAGGCCTATCCCAGGTTGTCAACTCAATGCCCAGAATCTAGCAGAGGCCATTGACTTTTGCTTACGACCTTCTACATTGGCAGCTGCACAGGAAATGGCTCGGAAAATGAGATCTGAGCTGGGGGTCCAGGCAGCTGTAGCTTCCTTCCACCGACAGCTACCATTGTCGAGAATGAAATGTCAAATCCTACCTGACCAGCCTGCCATCTGGGAGTACAGAAGGTCCTTCGCTGAGTCCATATATCTCTCTAATATTGCAGTACAAATACTACTAGACGATCAGCAGATCCAACAGAAGCACTTACATCTGTTAGTGACGTCTTTTCCAGTTACACTCTTTTCACCTTCTCTCCCCTACTCCTCTCCCCGTCTCTCTTTCTTTCTTTTCTTCCCCCCCCCCCCCCCCCCCCCCTCCCTTTTTTTTTTTTCTTTCTGCATATAATATGACCAACGCGCAGTTTTCTCTTTCTTTCTTGATCGCTAATTTCCCGCCCTTTTATGCCGGTCTTCAGCCATATCGTCAACCCAATCATGATTGACCATCGACGATGGGATCCGATTACTGGCACCGCCTCTGCTACAGTTTCCACCGGAGTTACCATGCTCAAAGACAGCGCAGATATCTTCTATCGGCCGATCAAAGAGGCCCAAAGTCAGCGCCGATCTCACGGCAATCTGCCGCCGCCGCCGCAGCAGCAGCAGAACGAGCCTCTTGCTCCGATGATGATGGAGGGCGCAGATTCTTCCCTAAGCGCGAGATGTTCCCTGAGGGACGGCTCACCCCACTCCTATCTGCCCGGGCACCCGGCAGCCACGGCAGCAGAACGGGGTCGCCCGTCGTCGCCTGCTCGTGCCGCGTTGGCGGCCGGTGGGAAGAGTCTGGGCAAGTTGGTGGGCCACGCCTACAAAGGTGCGGTCGTGGATATCCCCCTCGCCGCCACAGAGGGGCTCCGATCGGTGCCGCGCCTGTACGGCGAGGAGGTGCGAGACCTGGGCCCGGTCCGGGACTGGAAGTCCGGGCTCGCGGTCGGGGGCAGGAGCTTTCTGCACGGGGTTGCTGGCGGTCTCACGGATATTGTCGTTCAGCCGTACAAGGGGGCGCGAGAGGAGGGAGCATTGGGCGCGGCCACGGGTTTAGCCAAAGGGACGATCGGTACAATGACGAAGTTGGGGTCCGGTATGATTCCTGTTACACATATGCGCAGGCACACAACCACCCCCTCTCTCCCACCTCTCTCTTGCTCGTCACATACACACCAGACATGAAAAAGAAAACCACCAAGGACAGCCATGCTAACTCAATCTTGGCAGGTATGCTCGGCTTGGTCGCCTATCCTGGACAAGGCATCTGTAAAAGCATCCAAAATGTGGGACGAGCAGGAACAAGGAGACAAATCGTGGCGCAACACGAAAGTGAACGTGCTTTCATCACGCGCAGAGCCGTCGATGCGGGTGGTATTGATTCGAACACTGTGCTTAGGACTTTCGAAATCCTGCGACGGAGAAGTCGGAAGAAATGATGCAGGGTCAGGGTTATTTTGGGTATTCACTAAAGGCATGCAAGGGCGTGTTTCCGAGAGACTTTTTCATGCTTCCTATTCACACTCCCCCGCCAACACCCCATGGCGATTCATAGCCGCCATTAGGCGTACTGAATCGTCGACGTTTTATTACGGAAGCTGAGCAGACGGATATCATCAAAAAAGCCTCTAAAATACAGTATTTAACTATATAGCATCTTCTAAAATTGCCTAGATATGTACCTTCAATTAATCTCAGTTGTGTCTGGATTAAGTAGTAAGGGATTCACACCTGATCCTATATTATGAACCTGTATCAAACAAAACGGTTAACCGAACGGTTAAGTATTGCCACTCTACTAACTATTAAATCTAACCGAAGAAAAAGTGTATTAGAAATAGCTTTTCCTTCAAAATAATTATAAATGAGTTTAAAGCCGCCTGTAACTATATTACTAAAAATATAATATATTAATTTAAATGATCTATGTTTTATTTTTTCCTGAATAAAGATCAATTCAAAACTCAAAAATACGATAATATAAAATATTTATTGAACTAGATATGTATTAAAAGCTACTAGTACTAAGATTATATAGATTGCAATTCTAGGAATATAACAATATTGAATATTCTCTATGTACTATAGAATAATTAAATATTCGATATTTATTTTTATCCATAAAGAGATCAGAAGTACTCTAATAGACTATACCTCACCATTATACCTTAACCTAATCTGACTATAACTTGGCAGTGAGATTAAGGTACAGAGATTTTCTTGACTGTACAGTTAAGATTAGATTAAGACTAAAAGATCTCTCCAACTATCTATAATTCTAGACCAGAAAAATCAGTTTATCACAGATCGATTAATAATCATAGATTGATTAGTATTTAATACAGAACTGCTACAGAATTAATTTAACAGTAATACTATATTTCTAATTTTTGTATTATTATTTATTAAGATAAGGTATAACATAGATTAATGTTTATTTAATAAACTTTTTATTCTTTAATTAGCAGTCAGCAGCCTAGCAGGTTCCACATTAGATTTTAATTAATAATATTATAAATTAAAGAATATTTATCTCTCTAGACTGGTGTCAAACCCTAGGATCGCTTCCCTGTCCCAGTTAGCTTAGCCCCGTTGGTATACGTACCGCCGAACTACGTCGAGGTGGTATCGACTGATGACTATCTGAGAGATAACTAGGTCGTGGACAAGAGAAGAGAAGTAAGGCCGAATAGTACCGCGCAGCTATTTGTAAGTAAGTGCGGACGAGCGTTCTGTAGCTAAGCTTCCAAATGTATGGTTATTTAAAGACAGTAGTATTGAGCATGAAGAACAGAACTAATTAAGTATATGAGAGAGTGTCCTTATATATTTTATTTTCCATATACCATATCATATACTATTCAGGGTAGATTAGTGGTTGATCCTGAGGTTCCCGTATACCCTGGGTATATCTTTGATGGTAGGTCTGATGGTAGATGGTCACGTGATGCGTGGCCGTTCCGGGCGTCGTATTGGCAATTCTCAATTGTACTAAATAACAGTTTGGCTTTGCCCGAGCGCTGCCCTTATCGGCGCTTTCTGCCTGGCGAGTCCGCCTTACTAGTAGGTTAACTAGCAGGGGTCCGTAACATGCGGCAGTTATTTAAAAAAACTAAAATAAATAAGATTCTTTATATAATAATTTTATAATAAAAAGAAGTATTTCTTAAATTTCTAGTAGAAAGTTATATATAATTTATATTATTTAATATAAATTATTTAATTCTGTATTACAGGTTATTGTAGTATAAATAATTAATTAAAGTATTTTTAATCTTTTATTTTATGTGATTATTAATTTTAATAGAAATAAGAGTATTCTGGATCTAGCAAAATAAAATTTCTAATAAATCCTATTAATATAATTTTTTAAAATAGAAGATTAAATACACGCACATATTTTTTAGAAAGTAAATTTTATATATATTTCTGATTTTATTAATAAGTAGAATAAATTTATATTAATTCTCTAAGAGCTTCTGCAAGGGTTAATCCTAATATTAATTTTATATATTAATAATAATTTATTTACTAAATCTGCTAATCTTAAGTTTCTTATATATTATTTTATATAAACTGCTATATTTATTTTATTTAATAGATAAATTTCTGTATCTTATTTTAAATAATTATATATAATAAAAGTTCTGCAGGAGATATCCAGTTTAATAATACTTTTAATTTTAATTTTTAATTTATAAATAATAATAGTTCTATTAATTTATATAGTAAAATTACAGCTGCGAAGTTGATTAAAAAATATTTTTAAATAAGTATTTTTGAAGTAATCAATAAATAGAATAAATTATTAAGTAATATATTACATATAGAATGTACCTTTAGGTGCCGGGGTCGCCAAATACGGCCATCCTGGTCGCCATTTTCGGACACCCTGGCCCCGGAAGCTAAACCTGAAATGGAAACCAATGGGCGCTGTTTTAGAGGGCCAAACTTACACGGGCAGCGACGTAACGGCGATACGGCCAAGCCAGGATCCACCACCGGCCTCAGCAGCCCTCAGCACCTGTACTGCTGAGATAGCTCAGCGAAGGTTCGCTGAGACTGCGTCGCTCGGCGATGTTCGCAGGACCGAAGGTGGAGAGCAGGCCTCTTTTGGCAAGGAGTGACCGCCCCAAACGCGCATAAATAGCCATAGCCGTCTCCCTTCTTCCAGCGACATCGTCCATTTCCCTTTTCAACCTTTTCCTGTTGCCCATCAGGCGGTTCTTATCCGCAATGACATATTCGGGCCTCCCTCGGAGGAAACATGCTCCAGGAGATGACAAACCTGGCCGCAAGTCCTACCTGTACTATGCGCAGCGGCGAAAGCTGCACCTGGAAAGCGGGCCAACGCTACCGAAATACTCGCCAAATACCAATGTTTCTGCGGCATCTGTGAGAGGGAAATGGGTGAGGTATCGTTCGGTTAGCTATATCTGTATTTTTATCACGGTATTACTTACTCCTGTTGTCGACAGATTTTGCACTGAGGCATGCCTGGACCCGGACGATCTTCTTAAAAACATGACTTCAGCAGACGTCAAATCCTGGTTCGACTGGATTGAAAAGAACTTCAAAGGGTCTATTAAAGCCCACGGCGCGCTTGCCAACTACTGGAGAACTTTGAAGAGGCTATACTTCTTGAAAACCCGCCGGGAGATGGATGCAGACATGAGGGTAGATTGCCTCAACGTACGTGATGGTCTCCAAGTACCCATTCAAGAGTTCTATCTAATGGTAAGCCCTAGTATATGAATGTTGTCAGTACGAGAATGGGTTTGCGTAAGCACTCACTGCCAAAGCCGACTGGCCAATCGGAGGATCTTTTGCAGTATCTTGTGTCCCATCTTGTGGATTGTGATTCGGTATTTGCGGACGAAAAGCAGCGTCTCTATGCCCTCCCGGCGCTCAATCTGTCCTGCATATCTGCCTGTCGAGCCGTATCTTTCTTTGACACAAGACACCGCGTCCAATATCAGGCGGACGGCACGTTGGTACCTCCTACAAATACGTCAGCTAAGGTTAGAACGCCTTTACCTTTGCCTTCCATCAAGGAGGCCCTGTGTGATCCAGGAACCAAAATCAGCATGGGAAGCGACGATTATGCGGAAGGAGGTTCGATATCCGAGACCAGCTCGTATACTGACTCGGAAGTGGATACGGCGAGCGACAGCGATCACCAGTCAGATTGTTCTAGTGTCACAGATGACGGGTACCTTAACGGGAATGAGGAGACGGGCACTATCCTTTGGCGGCACGTGGAATTCTATATTATTCGTAACCCAGTGCCTGGACGTCGGCATATCCTAGCCGCCATTGTGTCCATCCTGCATACGAAAGGGGAAGGAAGGAAGCCTCGGCTGTAAGTCATCGAGCTAGGTGATGTGGTGTCACGGACTTACCTAATCATTAGGAAGAGATATGTTATCGAGCACGAGGATAATTTGATATTCGATGTTTTATCACAGCTTCTGGCGCTGGCAATACATGATGATATCTTCGAAGCTACTATCCAAGATGTGTCCCATATATACACAGTACCAATTCCTAATCATCGAAAGGGCATCCAGCTGAAGATAAAGAGAGAAAAGCTGGATGTATCGGTCTTCCGTGAGCCTGAACATACCCCCGAGGGCTACAGGACATCTGATTCGCGCCCTCTGAAGTCCAAGACCTGGAGCCGGTATGTCAAACGGATTGGAGTGCGAAGTGGCCAGGAACGTAACCTTACACAGAAGGTGTTCCGGCGCGGTGCAATCAATGCCATTAACAGTAAGACCACCTTTGGTACTGCTCATTCTTTATGGCTTACATGAATACCGATTTAGACAACGCTCCATCCTCGGTCCGTGATCAAGTCGCTGATCACGAATCTAATGCCGTGAAATACTACCTCAATGAGATAGTCGATTTTGATACAGCGGCAGCGTTTCACAAACGCCCATCAAACGAGGTCGTTCAACGTGAGCTGAGATCAGCGACCTTGCTGGCGGATAAAACCGCACCTATTGGATTGACGGCTGCCCAGGCTCAGAGAATCTCTAGGGACCCTGAGGTCCGTCGTCTTCGAAGCGTCTGTCGCGCATTGACTGCGGAAATCCGCAGCCAGGGCTATAAACTTCTGAAGGATGCCGCAGGCACCGAGATCGGTGAGCGGAAGAAACGTGCAGATGTCGAGCTCAACAGGACACTTACAAGGCTCCGAGAGGAGGCCAAGGAGAGGAATCGCCGAAAACACTTTCGGAGGACAGACACGGCTATTTTCAACCAACAGTACGAGCTCGATCGGCCCTGTCATGAGGCTAAACTACAGCCTCATGTGGCCCGGACCTACCAAATCCCCGAGCGCAAGGAGCTCGTTGATCTGCTCTGCTATTCAACTCCCACCAAAACAGACGAGGAAGCTCATCTTCGTCGGTTGGAATACATCCGCCTTATGGTCCTATGGCAAGACCGGAAGGAGAGTCCTCGGCGGGGTAAGCAGTCAGCGACCATACCAAAGCTGCAGCCAGCGAACCCTTCATCTGCCAGTGTCGTCGAAAAATTTGACCCTCTGCAATGTCCATTTTGCCTTTCGGATACGCGCCTCTCACCTGCTGACCGCACGAAGCGAAAGAGCAAAACAAATAAGCTCTGGGACCACGTGGAAAGGATTCACGAGCAAGAGCTTGCAGCATTTGACTCGGGATTTCGCAAATGCGGACTATGTGGGCTGAGGAATATTGACTTCATGCCATCTAGCGCGTCCAATTTTAAGAACCACACCCACACCGTGCATGGAATCAGACTCAGACCTTAGTTTAATGCACTCAAATAGTTAAATTTGACTTTATGAAACCTGCACAGACGTTAGCAATTCAACAATGACGCTCTTGACCACACCATGGCAGTATACTATTGATTGATTGGATTCATACTCCGACCCGTCACCTGCCAGTTAGATTTTAAACCACAACCTCCTAGGCATGGTACGGATTCGTATTATAGGAGAGAACTGCACTGATGCGCGGGGTCAGGGTAAACGAAGCCAACCATATTCATTCCAGTCAGGGTTCCAGACCCTCCACGACTTCCAGGAGTCGTTCGGTTTCCCGCATGCCACTCAACCTCAACCTGAAGTAGGATCAGACATAGCTTGACGTATGGTTCCACTTCGTCTTGACTCCTGGTCCCAAAGGTCCAGATATAGTCAAATAGCGAAGCCTATTCCAATCAAGGCGAGTCGATGGCTTGCTTCCCCCCGTTTCAGACCTGGTTGGTGCGCCGCTATACCGTCTTGAGCAGCATGCGATGGTTCCATCGGGCGTTTGATCTTGCGGAGGACCATTCTGGCTGCCCAATTCCAATTCCATTATTTGATTGGCCGCTGCTTATGATTGTTCTGCATCGGTTAAGTGGCAAACCTCCACTGGCGGATTCATGCGTAACCACTTGACGGGATAGAAGAAGAGCTATCTAGCCCCAGCTAACCCCAAGCATGCACCAAGCTTGCCAGTATTTTGCACAGATCGATCGGCCGGAGATCTCGATTTAACCTGGTGATACTGGTGCCTGCTCGCCCGGGGATCAGTTTTTGGAAGAAATTATGAGTACGGGGGCTACTGGAGTTGTCCTGGACTGCCGGCGGTGCGAATTAGAGGCATTTCTCTATGAGACCCGGCGGACTCGCGTTCTCTTTCTTTATCCAGTTGCTCCTGTTCTTCCTCGGCCCTCATCAGCTATCTATGTACTCATCTAATATCTCTTGTCTGTAAACGATTTGAATACTAAAAACATTCGCCGTCTTCTAGTATAGTGACCCATGCCTGCTATGCGCGACCCATTCACACCTGTATTCCAGGCTCATTGTTTTGTTGCTGGGGCTTGGGTGTTGATAGGTATTTCAGTTCCTGCTCGGTGGAGTATGTTCGGCGGGGATGCTCGTGCAGCGACTATAAGTATCTACTTCTTCTGGGGAATCAGGAACATGCATGGAATGCGCTATAAGTGCCATCCACGTAGCAATATCACAGATTGGAGGATAAGGGCACGCACCCCTCCGGGAATTTACGGGACGAAACCCTGCCCTGCGTCACGGAAGCTCATTGCACATGACTGTGCTCCGCTGCTCAGACTGAGCGCTCAGCGACAGATCTGATTTGATCACTAAGTAGGACTGAGTCAAGGGTGAGTAGTCTGAGCGGCACAGTGAACTGTTATGTTAGGGGCTCTGACACATGGTACCCTCAATAATAACCGACCCTTATCCTCACCAGCCGGGCAAATGCGGTCAGCCTGGACCAGCTCAAAGAGGATAGAAGATGAACCCCATCGTCAGCCTACAAGACCGAGTATCGCTTTTTCATATGCTACAACTAGCATGCGGACAGAGACACAACACTGGTGGTTAATACATGACCAAGTTTTCGACGATGGACTACCATATCCCTCAGAGCCACACATGGTATTGACCTTTCGTAATGACCTCCAGCCCATCGAAGCAAGCACTGTTCGTACTGTGGGAACCTTATGTCCTATTCGATGCTGGAGACGATTCTCACCCTTTTCTTCTACTGCCTTTAACGAAACACCAAACGCCCATGCTGCAATTACTATTCAGAGCATTCTCTGTCTTGCACATCATACTAGAGGCCTTGCTCAATCTGGGCAATATTGATTGACCACACAAACCTGTTGTCGTTGCGTGCTTCGTCCTAACCCCTAATGCCCATATCAGGAATCACTTGCCCCGACGGGGTACTCTCAACCATAATATCTGATGTTTTTAGGAGATAGTCCCAACACGATGGGCACCGGTCAGTTGTGATGGCGGTTTGACCAGGCAGAACACTGGCCAACTCACAACGGACTAGGGCTCCGAAAGGAATATGATTATTTGTGAATATTCATGAATATTTGCGAATATGAATAATATGAATAGAATGATATGAATATGAATAAAGGGTTTATTCATATTCGCACTATTCATGAATAAATGAATAATTCATATTTATTCAAATAATAAAATACCATACATGACCATTCATTTTATTACATCCCATTACATCTATCCACCAAGCTCATATAGTCTGGTCCATACAGGTTACATACAAGACTTGAGCACTTCATCAATGAATTTTACATTCATGCACGGCTCTCACATTATGTCTGATACTGCCCTCTCAAGAGCATCAACCATCGCATAGTCTCCGCGTTCAGACAGTGTCTTCGAAGACCCAAGACATCTCTAGCGCTGCTAAACTCACGTTCAATCCCGACCTCTGCCGAAGGGATGGGGAGATAGTCACGAGCAGCTTTTGCCAGGAGTGGAAAATTAAACGCGTTAGCCTTCCACCATTTGAGGACCCATTCTGTGTCTGCATCGTCGATCATATGGTGGGACCAGTTGACCGGCGGGGAATCCAAATACTTATCAATATCCGACAAAGAAGCCTCTTTGGATGGCTGGACTTTGCGCAGAGTCCTCCACATTGTTTCTGACATCCCCGGTGGACGTGGTAGGTCAACTTCCCGGGAAACCAATGGCTCTGGGGGGTACTCCTTTTTTAAGAAACCCCGCACTTGAGAAATGATAAACCCCTGAATCCTGTTCGCTCATCTGAGACACAATCAAGGACGACTTGATTCGCGGATCAAGAACCGAAGCCACATAGTAAAGAAGGTTGTCGTCCATTTTTCTAGCAAATTTGTTCATCTTTCGAATCCCTCCTTCCACCGCATCGCGAATCTCAACGCTCACATCTTCAAAATCCCCCTCCGCATTTCGAACCTCATTCAACAAGTCGTCCAAGCTCCAGTAAATCGGTAGACTTTGAACAATTGTTGGGCAAGTCTTTGAGACGGAGTTTGTGTGATCCCAGAACGGCTTAAGAATCTTAGCTACTTGCTGAAGTGTCGACCATTCGTCAACGGTAAGCTGAAGAGCCTGAACTTCCGGATGTATCCGAGTAAATTGTCCGAGCTGAGTTTGCAGCCGAAGTGCATCCTGGATCATGATATAAGTCGAATTCCATCGCGTGTCAACATCATAACTAACTTGTTTGCCGGGTGACACTTCTTTCCAATCTTGGCGGCGCTGTGGGCTACGGGCAATCCATAGCGTCAGGAGCCGGACTTTCATGATAGCTCCTTTTGTACTGTGAAGGGAGTTGAATGCTGCTGCTCTAGAATGGATGGCCATGTCGTCCAGTATCGCCTTTGCTTCCCGAGCCGAGCCAGCCCTTAAGGAAGCGAGCACATCTCTACAGATCAGATTGAGGATATGCGCGAGGCAGGGAATGAAGCTTTGCCGTCCACGGAACCGCATGAGAGGCCTAATACGAAAGCAGTCGTCGTCATTATCATACTTCTTGAGGAGCTGATCGTGAAGGCTATCGCAGAGCGTCCCATTATTGCCTGCATTGTCCCCTGTGATGGTCAGGAGCTTTGGCGCGATGTCCAGTTCGTCAAGCATATTCAACACAACATCCGCTAGATTCTCTCCAGAATGTGGTCCATTGATTTCGGTGAACTCGAGAAGCTCATCGCGCTTGTCAAACTCGGGAGAGATCCAATGGCCAATGATACCCATGATCGGAATCTGATTTTCCGACGTCCAAACGTCAAGGGACAAAGCCAATGTCCGGCTACTCCTCGCAAGCTCCTTTTTCACGGAAGCCCTACTTGATTGGAAATCTTCCTTGATTCGGTTGAAGAGAGTATCAGCAGTCTTGATGGGCAACGTGGCTCCCGTTGCTTCAATGAGTGCCCTGAAAGCCGGATGCTCTACCACTGTAAAAGGCTGTCTTGTTTGAATGACCCACCGAACTAGCATCTCTTCAACACCAGCCTTCTTTCTCGGGGACTCCAAGAACCGGTCGAGACTCCCCTCCACCGCGGGCAAGAAGATGGAGTCGTCCCCGGACTTGATACGATGCTTGGTCTGGAGATGCACCAACAAATTTGAAGTGGAACCATAGCGCGCTGAATCTCTGGAGGACCAATTGCAATGTTTACAAATTAGCAGTCGGTCTTTTTTCGGAGGGCCACCCTGCCGACACCAAGTGTTATCCAGATCTGTAGTCCAAAAGTGCTCAATAGTCCAACTAGAATATGATTTGGGCTTTCGTCTTTTACACGGGTGCGGACTACTCGCATCGCTCCTGCTCTCTGAAAAGGCAGGATCAAGCGGGGAAGGCGAGGAACTAAGCAAAGAGTAAGACCGCTTTGATTGAGGTGTGTTTTGAACGTTTTCCAGGTCCCTAGGCGAAGAGGGCTCAGGAGAGGAAGGGTGTCCTGTTTCACAGGTAGATCCCTCAGACTGCTGTGAAGGCGAAGAAATCAGGCCATTGTGCAGAGCATTATAATCCCGACGTGGAAGACCGCGCGTCCTCCGCATGAACAGATCAGGTGTAGATGCCATGCTACTATTTCCCGATATCAGTATATCAAAGTGTTATCGACGGTGATGCATAACATACCTTGAACTACCTGGGCTGGGGTAAGAAACTGAAAGGGGGATTGAGGATAGGAAGATTGTAAACATTCCCATTCAGTCTCGCACTTTATATGCCCTTCTTGACGTGGAAAGTTGATAGGTCTCTTTTGTATTTTCCGCAACGCGATATTGGTGATCTTGAACGTAAACAAAATGCAGCCAGGGTCATCTGAGGCTCTGGATCGTGAGGCAAACGCGTTTTCACGTGCCCTTTCTCGGGACTAGTATATAGACGGAGT